TTTCTTTCTTTCTTTCTTTCTTTCTTTCTTTCTTTCTTTCTTTCTTTCTTTCTTTCTTCTCTCGCCTGCCTGCCTGCCTGCTCACTCTGAAAGTGTCTGGGTGCATACTTTCCAAATGCGCAAAAACTAGAAACACAGCAGCTCTCCAAAAATATCTGTCCTATTATTTTTGGAACCAGCAGAGATACCTTTCTAAAACACTCTTCCCAAAGTTTTTTGTTTGGGGGGGGGAAGCGAGGGGACCTTATAAACTGAGAAATGAGAAAGGTTTACAGTGTCAAATATGAACTCTCCTTAAAAGAACACTGCCTGTTGCTTAAGGTGGCCTTGTAAGCCCTCCACATTTTTTTCTCTCATCCTGCATCCCTTTTGCTCCCTAACAATAGTTTTTTCCTTCGCATGCAAAACTTGCAGGAGTCTCAAATTGCTGCTAAAGGGAATTGGTTTAGCCCAATCAGCAGCGGTTGGTTCAGAATGAGTTTGCGAGGTTCTGAAATGACAGTCGAGTTCGGACGTTGTGCTAAGGCATGGCTGGCTTCTTTGCTGAAAAAACAAACTGCGATTGGTTTCACACACTGCATTCAAGCCGAAACGTTCGTGCCTGGATTCCCAGATGGGAAACCGAAAGCAAACAATCCACGTTACAGCTTAGCGTGATGTGTGGATCCAGTCGCTAATTTAATCCTGGTAGCTTTTATAAATAAGTTATTAAAGAAATGGTTGTTCTTCCACTTTGCAGATGATAGAGGACCAGGGTTTGTTTAAAAATGAAAACAGGGAAGGCTTATTGATTTGCAAAAGTTTAAACTAATACTGTCCTGTGATATGTCTTTCAATCAGCTGCCAATCTTCTTTCTTAAGGTAGGAAGTTTCTAGTTTTCAATCACTTTTCAGAGTTTCAGTAGAATTGCTGTTGGGGTAAAGTGGGCTTTTTTTTATTGTCCCATTACAAATTGACCCATCACTGTCCCAACTTCCTGATCCCCAAAAGAGCCCCTGAGAGATCCCCCCCCCCCCCATTGCAAGACATGCCTTAGGTTTGAACAGAAGGATGGAAATGCAGACTCAGCGACACAACCCTGGTAACTAATCCCCACAGGCTCTTTTTTTTTTTTAAACAGTGAAAACAATTTATTTATTTGCAAACAGAGTGAAACTAGCTGGAGAAAAAAAAACACAGAAGCCATTGTTTTTATTCAAAGCAAAGAACTTCACGGAGAGATTTGGACTCGAATCAGGGGGGAGCAAGGTGTGGAGGGAGAGACTTTGGGCAAGTTCTTGCAAGGAAAAAGAGATCTTGCATTGGGCTGAACGTTCTCTCAGAGGCACTTTGGAGTCTACGCTC